ATCAAACATGTTGAGTTTCTTTTTCCCTCAAGCGAGATTTTGATTCGGGGACGAAAATCATTTATATTTTTTTAACATATTTTTTAATCTAGAACTAATGCCTTATCTATTTGGATATTATATCATATATTATAATTATTATTTTAGGCACAGTGTTCTTTTAAACGGAAACAATGGAAACAAAACCACAATATGTTTTGGTCGTGTGGAGTACACTATCCGTTAACGTGAATGATAAAAATAACAATTTTATTTTGGTACATAACTACAAGTGGGTAATGTGTATAATTTTAAACGTCAAATAGATAAAGTGATTATAACCAAAACCATATGAAAATAAAAAACAATTAACCCTTTAATTGATTAGCTTGTCAAACAAGTTGCTCTTTCAGCTTTTCTTCCCACTTTTTATTTATTTATTGTGTTAGATGGTCAAAGGTGTTCCATGAGCTTTTCTTCTCACAACTTATGCGTACCTTGATTAATCATTTCTTCAGTTTGATGAAAGACATAGTTATTTACGCCGAAATTAGGGTAATCATGACAGATAAGTATCTTATGACCTGGCCCCAAAGAATTATTAGAATTCAAACTCAAAACATCTATATTTATAACTCGTCCGTGTTACTACTTAAACCACCCCTTGAATTTTTCTTCCCAATTTCTCCTTATCATTTATTCTGGTTTCCAAGAACCTACCTNACTATATTTGCAGATACTTTGCACACACCGAATATCTTTCCAAAATTTATAAACTAAATCAAATATGAATTGTTAAATTCATGACTTATACAAACTTTCACTAAACATCCAATGATGCAAGAAATTGGTTGTACGCAATTTTATTCATTAAATCCGATAGTTGAAAAAATATTAAGTGTAACTGTTACACCATGTCAGCAGTGTAACTGTTACACCATGTCAGCAGTGTAACATGGTATAATGGTACACTAATAGGTAAACAAATCATCAAAAACAGGCTCTATTAAAATTCATAACCACCTAATCATGTCATACATAATCACCTACATGATAAGAAGTGAGTCATATTTTATTCTCTTTATTTTTTTCGTATTAAATAGTTACACCACGTCAACATTGAGCAAAGTGTAACAGTGACACTCCTTATCATGTTTTACCACTTGAGTTTGATATTCTAGGTGTTGTAAGAATTTTCATTTCCGTTCCAAAACTAAATAACTTTAAGTTTTTACTTTTTTAAAAAAAAAAATCAAGATAGCACATTAATAATTTCTTATACTCAATTCGAATTTGATACATATTATTCCTTAGACCTTAAAAGCTTCTATAGCACTGATAAAAGTTTTACAGCCCGATCGACCAAACCCTAATCATCTCTAACGTATACATTAAAACACACTTGAAATTCATTTTACAATACTATCTTCCGATTAATCACCAAATATTTTGAAGTGGGTTGAACTTTGATCACCAAGTAGGCATAATAAATCTTATTTTATTTTTATTTTATTTTATTGCATAAAGAATCAAAATCAAGTTCCACACTTCTTGAGCCCAGATGATGGGCCAAGATGCATCCATCCTGGAAGGCCTGCTTGAGCCCATTTTAGTCTTCTTCAGGAAGCTGTATGTATGTAGAGTAGCCCAGATGTTTCTAATTAATTAGGCCTCCAAGATCTGGGATGGCCACAGATTCCCTCATCAATGTTTATTGGGTTTCTGTGTGGACCCACGCCTGCATAATGGTAGAGATCAACATGGCCTCGGTGAAAAGAGAGTAAATATTGGATATAACAGTTACACTAAGTCACCATCCAAATAGACAAGGTAAATTAGTTGCGGAGTCACTAAAGGACAAGGGTAGGCATGTGGTCGTCCTCAATTTTTTTATCTTATTATTAGGTATTGTATTTTTAAAAATATATCTAATTATGTTCATCCCATTATTTTTTAAAAAAAAAATTAATTGAGACTTAATTTGATGATCTAATTTAAAAATCTAATATAATATAACTATTGAATTAGACGTGAGCTTCTCAGCTTCATCTAACCTTAGAACTCACAACTAATCCAATGACTACATTGAATTAGGTCCTCATAAAATTACTTTATTTTCTTATTATATCAATTAGTAAATACTCCTATCTAAATGACTAATAGTTAACACATATTCGGATTAATTTGGACATATTAGGTTCATTTTAAAATCTTTTGATCAACTTGACTACTTATTATTGATGTGAATTTTAGCAGAGTTTAAAACCTAGCAAAAATTTGTGATCTTGCTTGCAAAATTTTAAAATAAAAATTTATGTGGTATATCCTTTAATGAACATATCTATGATTTTTATATTAATTTTATTAGTCATTAATAATGAAATTATTAGACAATGCTATCAAAGTATGAAAATTTATTGGATTCATTATAACTAACTACAATTAAATTCATTTTCAATAAAAATAATATAATTAATCTCTTTTCTATTGTACATATATATGCATGAAATTTTTAAAAATCATTGACGAAATAAATAGTATAAATATATCATCTTACTTTTATCAATTATAATAAATCTTCTTGTTATCAATTAGGATAAAACATGTTAAAATGTCCACCCTAAAACAATTTTTCTAGCTCCACCACTAGGTGACTCCCCCTAGGTGATTATTTTCTTACATAAACAAAGAAATTTCTATATCTAATTCTAAATGCAAGAGTGGAGTGCTTATAGGAGGAATTGGATTTTAATCAAAATTCGATTTTTATCTGTTTAATTATTCAAAAATGCATTAATATTTTTAACCAACTATCTTAATCTTAATTCAATTTTGTCATATATCTCATGTTTCAGAAATTCGGATTTACATATGTTTATTCTACCACCGACCCCTTTCGATGCACAATTTTCTAACCAAAAATATGAGTAATTTTTAAGTTCAATGACAAAGGAAATAAAAAGTTAAAGTTCTAACCAAAAATTTGAGTAATTTTTAAGTTCAATGACAGAGGAAATAAAAAGTTAAAGTAGAAGCAGCGAAAACGGACGATAGAGAGCGAGAAACATAAGTTTAAACAAATTTTAGTCATTTCCTAAATCCTAAAACTTAAACCCTAGAATGTAGACACCCCAGACGCTGGACCCAAGAATCCAAATCCTAAACTCTGTAGCCTAATGCTCCGTTTAGTAGGAAGAATAGGAAATAGGAAAGATAAAAAATTGGATAAATACATTTTCTATCCTTCAAAGAAAGAAAGTAAGAATGTTACGCTTCCTTTTGGATGAAAAATAAAAATTACTAATTTTTTTTTTTTAATGCTAGCTAAGATTAGGGGTGACAATCTAAGTAGTGTCGTGTCAGATTCGTGTTATGTCGTCACGGAATTATGTCGAACATTATTCACACATAACTCAACTCATTTAATTAATTATGTCGCGTCAAGTTACAAGTTGACTTTTTTTATTTTCGTATCATTTTCGTGTTAAAGTTAATCAAATTCGTGTTGAGTCCGAGTCATGTCATCGTATTGAATTAAAAAAAATTTATCCCTAANAGAAATTTCTATATCTAATTCTAAATGCAAGAGTGGAGTGCTTATAGGAGGAATTGGATTTTAATCAAAATTCGATTTTTATCTGTTTAATTATTCAAAAATGCATTAATATTTTTAACCAACTATCTTAATCTTAATTCAATTTTGTCATATATCTCATGTTTCAGAAATTCGGATTTACATATGTTTATTCTACCACCGACCCCTTTCGATGCACAATTTTCTAACCAAAAATATGAGTAATTTTTAAGTTCAATGACAAAGGAAATAAAAAGTTAAAGTTCTAACCAAAAATTTGAGTAATTTTTAAGTTCAATGACAGAGGAAATAAAAAGTTAAAGTAGAAGCAGCGAAAACGGACGATAGAGAGCGAGAAACATAAGTTTAAACAAATTTTAGTCATTTCCTAAATCCTAAAACTTAAACCCTAGAATGTAGACACCCCAGACGCTGGACCCAAGAATCCAAATCCTAAACTCTGTAGCCTAATGCTCCGTTTAGTAGGAAGAATAGGAAATAGGAAAGATAAAAAATTGGATAAATACATTTTCTATCCTTCAAAGAAAGAAAGTAAGAATGTTACGCTTCCTTTTGGATGAAAAATAAAAATTACTAATTTTTTTTTTTTAATGCTAGCTAAGATTAGGGGTGACAATCTAAGTAGTGTCGTGTCAGATTCGTGTTATGTCGTCACGGAATTATGTCGAACATTATTCACACATAACTCAACTCATTTAATTAATTATGTCGCGTCAAGTTACAAGTTGACTTTTTTTATTTTCGTATCATTTTCGTGTTAAAGTTAATCAAATTCGTGTTGAGTCCGAGTCATGTCATCGTATTGAATCAAAAAAATTTTATCCCTAATTAAGATGGGAAAAATATTTTTAAATTTAAAAATTTTATTTTTATTTTTTTGTTTATTATTGTATTTTTATACAAAATTAATCTATATATATATATATATATATAGACAAATAAAATATATCTCAACATAAATAATTAACTTTTCATCCACTTTCCTTTATTTTTTGGAGGGATTGATTTTGTTGAGTTGGAAGGAAAATTAATTCATCCACTTTTCTATCATTCCTATTTTCCTTCCTTATCAAATATGATGTTTTATTTATCTCTCCAACTTTTTATTCTTCTATTTTTTTATCACACCAAACGAAACATAAATCCTAAATCCTCCACAAGGGTTTAATTCCACCGAGTAGCATTGAATTCCAGTAAGTAGCCATACATAAAGCTTTGATAAAATAAAAAAATAAAAAAAACTTATTTACTGGACGGTAATTATGTACAGCGTACTGCACTGAAAGAATTACAAATCGAATGACAAGTACAATGCCTGGTTTTCTTTAAAATTCAAGTGGAACTTGAACAACTGAAAAAGAAAAGGACATGGGCTAGACTGATAACCAAAAAAAATCAAGAGAGAACATACCGGTGGAATGATGATTCACGAACTCCGTCCAGAATCCTCAAGCATCATTCCTTTAAGACTTTTTGCCAACCAGATAGCTGTCTCCCTTGGGGAGACTTTATCTTTTCCAAAAGGTTTCAAAACAACCCCGAGCTCTTCCAGTCTATTTTGCTGAAGCAAGTCAGCAGACAATTCTAATAGCCCTTCAAGCGCCTCTGCCCTCTGCCTGCAAGAGTTGACGTCTAAAGTTTCCTTTGTTGGGTTTTCCTCCTGTTTCGGAGGAGAACTAGGTTTCGCTGGCTCTGAAGAATTAAATTTCGGAATCAAGGATGTGGGGTTGCTCACCTCTGCTTCTTTAATACCAGGATTATCAGAAACATTTGATTTCAGAGTCATGGTTTCAGAGCAACTAGGTGATATCAGAGGTCCAGGGGTGGCTAGATTTTTAATCTCCAGCTCGTCCCTTACTACAGTTATCAGCTTCCCAACATCCACATTTTTCTCCGCTGCGTCTATTACTGGCTGTTCACTCCCAACTCGGAAACTACTGTGTCGTATAACATGTATGACATCATCAAAAACCGGTGAGAGATGGGCAGCAACTGGTTTTTCTACTGTTGGATTTTGCAAAACGATTCCCCTCTCTGACAGCAAATTCTTTTGGCCAGACGGAGCATAAGGGACTGTGGGAGAGGTAGTCTCAGTTACTGATGATAGAAGTTCCTTCACAGTAAATTTGTCATCACCACTGGATGTAGAAGCTAGGTTTGACTGGAACACAATGTCAGACCTACTACTAGGCCTACTTGTTGGTGCATCATCCTTACAAACAACTATTTCGTCCAGACTTTGGTATGGTACATCTGAAGATACACCTGAGTTCATGCTCCCGTTACCGGTACCTGCATTCTTATTCTGAACATCTTGGTGCACCTCAGAGGTCTCAACTGAGCATGATATAGATTTATTGCCATGTCCATGGTTTTCCCTGGACACAACTTCAGGCATCTCTAGGTGTAAAGAGGAACCGATTGAGCAGCTGGCTGGACATGATTCTGGGCTTTCACTTTGGCTGGATTGCTCACCATCAGGAAGTCTCTGTTCTGTGAAGTGATTAACAGGAATTGCCGCATCATCACAAAGTTCAAATCTTTCAATTGACACAGAAGACGAAACAGAATTACAGCTCTCTGTCTGCATTCCTTTCGATGCTCCCACAACAGCCTTTTGAGAGTCCTGTATGATCTCCCTTGAAACACGTGAGTGGCAACCATTGGACAACGGATCAGGAGACCTCTTTCCAGGATGCTGAGTTGTCTCACTTACGCCTACCTTCATATTATTGTTCATGTTATCTGGAGTATCTAGGCCTACCTGCCTCATCCGTCCTGGAAATGATGACCGTCTGACAGGATTAGGAGGGGTTTTTTGTCTTAGCAGTCTTAAGGGACCAGATGGAGGGAGTCCATCCAGTCTAGGTTTACTCTTTGGAGAAGAGTCAATGATGGGTAACTGCACAGACAGGTCATTAATATATGTATTAAGTTCAGCAAATATACCAATCAAAACAAAACAATGAACAATAGGCTAGTACCTGATGCTTTAGAGTATGTAGTCCCTGAGTCCTTTTTGCGGAATCAAAGCCAGCCCTGATTGGTGCAGGGGATGGTATATCAGCATTAGCCTTCAAACCAGGAGTAACAGCAGTTGGTTTTGAGACTTTAGGCAAAGCTTCTGTGTTTGCTCTCTGGACAGTACATGCAGTTCCAGCCTTTGTGTGGTTGCCCCTCATTGGGGAACTATTTTCTCTAGCTTTTCCTTCTTTAAGAGCCATCATAATACCTTTTATGGTTTTTGGTTGCTTATTTTCACTATTGGATCTCTGCTCATCTCGGAAAGGTTTCACCACCTCTTGTTCCTCCATATGGAAAGTGCACATGCGAATNATAATACCTTTTATGGTTTTTGGTTGCTTATTTTCACTATTGGATCTCTGCTCATCTTGGAAAGGTTTCACCACCTCTTGTTCCTCCATATGGAAAGTGCACATGCGAACGCCATGTTCTTCACTTAGCAGAAGCTGCTGACAGCCAACGTCATCCTCAACAGAAGCCAAATCTGTATCAGTGGCTTTTTGTTCAGAATTGAACACCATGACCTGAATGTTTTTCTCACTTGAGACCAAACTATCTCTGTCGCTACAAGAACTGTTACTACTTTGGCTCTCAGCCATATTCTTCCGGCGATCATGGGCAGTAGAAAGTGGCTTTTCAGGGAAACAGCCAGCGGGAGGATTAAGAGTTGGCCGGTATTGGTCCACATAAGGCAGCAAATATGGGTGCTTCAAGATTTCGGATGCCTGACCAAAGTTGAAAATGAAATATTAAGATGAGTTCCTGGTGGAAGTTCTTGAAAAAGTGAAGGAATAGATTCTGGCGGCTTACACTGGACCGATGCTCAGGGTTCTTTCTTAGCATGCTCTTGATAAGTGTTTTCCTGTGAATGGAATATGGAACAGATAAATTTCATGATAGTAACACATCATCATACATTGCCCTACTGTAAAGCAAAAGCATCCGGGAAAATGGAAATTATAACCTAAGATTTTTATGATAGTCTAAATCATTCCATCAACTCGTTCAATTTGTCAACCATCCTATGACAACAGTTTTTTGTGTGAAACAGAAAAATTCCTTAGCGTACAATGTTAAACTAAATTATTGGTGATCCTTAATTGCAAGTAGCTCAAAAGTGACGTGAGAAACTTCTGGCATCATAATAGATTAGGTCCTCGCTCTTCCTTGCCAGTAATAGCACGTCAATATTAGCCTTTAACTTCATAGACTTTCGGTTGCTTCATTGCAAACCAACCTAAGTACTCTTACATGTGGGTCGTTACACTATATCAAACCTCGTGTTTAATTTTATGATCATAAATAAAACTAACTTACACCTGTTGTAAGGAATATAATTCCCAATATTGGCCTATGACTGCAGAATAAATTCCCAAGCAGCGTCCAAAGAACCACTATTTACAATCAAGCACAGTAAAGTGAATGGCTACATATTTTATGGGATCAAAGGAAACCACATTACCAAGCAAAAGCTTTACACAATGTAAGCATTTAGTCAAGACTTCTTTTAGAAAACTGCAGAGGAATTCCAGTAAGAATATAAATTTCTTGAGGAGAAAATCAAATTTGATTAATCGATATGTGTTGCACATTTAGTTAAAACATGTATATTGTTGAGATTAAACCCATATACTTAGCTCCACAGTCTACCTCCCCTTTTTCCTTCCAAAAACAGAACATATACTAAAGTGATTAATCAAATCTAGTAATGTGCACAATCTAGTTTCAGAAGCCATAATTTGTGCATTGTATTTCCTTCTAATAGTGTACCCATAGTAGCCTTCTAAGTTCTAATGCTTTCAATTAGCAAGGACCAAACCAAGTAATGACCTATTAGTATATATCTGTCCTTTCTGGTACTTAATTAAATCTATATGCTCAAGTCCAATANAAGTTCTAATGCTTTCAATTAGCAAGGACCAAACCAAGTAATGACCTATTAGTATATATCTGTCCTTTCTGGTACTTAATTAAATCTATATGCTCAAGTCCAATACTAATGAAAACATATGAGAAATGCAAGCGATCATAACCAAACTAAAACACAGCAAATGATAAACCAATAAGTAAAGGAGAGTGCTACATTACTACACATCTGTGGTAGGCTAGTATCANGTCCTTTCTGGTACTTAATTAAATCTATATGCTCAAGTCCAATACTAATGAAAACATATGAGAAATGCAAGCGATCATAACCAAACTAAAACACAGCAATGATAAACCAATAAGTAAAGGAGAATGCTACATTACTACACATCTGTGGTAGGCTAGTATCATTCACGTTTTTCAGACAAAACTACCACATTTTCCTTTTACACCCACATTCAACTCAAGGAAGTGCCATAATTCAATATCCCCTCAAAGGGTTCTTACTCCTCTCTCACCAATCCCATCAGACCACTTCCACCAGACATCAATGTCACAAACCAGAATCACCACCCTAGCTGATGCCATGGAGTCCACACCCCTACCANTCCTTTTACACCCACATTCAACTCAAGGAAGTGCCATAATTCAATATCCCCTCAAAGGGTTCTTACTCCTCTCTCTCCAAACCCATCAGACCACTTCCACCAGACATCAATGTCACAAACCAGAATCACCACCCTAGCTAATGCCATGGAGTCCACACCCCTACCACCATCTTCCTATGACTTTGTTTCTCTGTAGCCCTATGCTTCTACATGTTTTCTTCCTCCACCACCTCTGGCATCATATCCAAACAAAGTAGATCCGTCCAATAACACAGTACCAACATCAACTCTGCCATGTTCTTTTTTCCCCAGAGAGAGATTTGGAGAAACCCTCAATAGAGGTTAAGGGAGATTAGGGATCGCCCTTGAACAAGAAAGGATCCCACAATGGGCTTTTGTCTTGTCAATACATTATTTTACTTGAAAAACCATAGTGTCCTCATTTTGTCCAAATGTGCAATTCAATCCTACCACACCAGTGTTGTAGGTTAGGAATTACCATAACTGAACAGCTAGCTTAGAAAATATCGACTCTAATAAATAATAAAAGTCCACGTGAGTGGACACTGAAGAGACGATTGCCTTGCAACCAGCCCTCACCATGTTCCCAGTGTAACTGACTAGTGGCTAGTGGCTAGTCGCGTATTTAATAAATACCAACAGCACATGATAGCAGCATAGGAACAAATCAAATAAAACAGAGCAAACAGTTATAAATTTAAGAGCAGAACTTCTATATATGGCCTAGAAGATAGGCGCTGAAACATGATTGCCTCACCACTAACAACAATCTAGGCTCAAAGCAAGCAGGCACCTGGGGGCATGACTAGGCAAAGAAGTAGACTGCCCATTGACCAGGTGAAGCATTACAAATGAGATCCAAGCAGATGGATGCCTACCATTAATGNCATGATTGCCTCACCACTAACAACAATCTAGGCTCAAAGCAAGCAGGCACCTGGGGGTATGACTAGGCAAAGAAGTAGACTGCCCATTGACCAGGTGAAGCATTACAAATGAGATCCAAGCAGATGGATGCCTACCATTAATGTTAAACACTAATGCAAGAATTAATTGACTTACAATGCCGGGGAGTAACAGGGCGGCAAAGGACCAATGGAAGATCGGTTTATTTTGCTTATCAATCCTGCCATGTCCTGAAAGCAATAAGATGCCCCCTTTAAGCATTGGAATGAAATAAAGGAACTTAAAGAACAATCGCATCCATGGACANAATGGAAGATCGGTTTATTTTGCTTATCAATCCTGCCATGTCCTGAAAGCAATAAGAGGCCCCCTTTAAGCATTGGAATGAAATAAAGGAACTTAAAGAACAATCGCATCCATGGACCAAATGAGAAGTTTACAATAATGATATCGTTTTGTTTAGAAGCAGATCCAACAGCAATCAACTTTCTTAAGCATTTGTATAATAATATTGTTATATCCTTTTCCATCTCCCTCCCTCTTAGACGGCATTTTACTTCAATAAATGCTAAAGCATAAGATACAAAAGCATTACCATATTTGTTGGTACAACTACAATATTTTGCATGGTATTAAAATATCCTTCTTGAGGCTCACTTTAAACCTCACCTCAAAGTGAGGCGGTGTTAATACTCCATATGAGCTAAGGCATAGCTGAATGCTTGTTTTCTGCACCTTGAACCATTGAAGTGCTTTTGGGTTTTGATTTTAGCTTTTCATTGCAATTATATGACAACCATTTGTTTACTATTTTGAACCATATCTCCTACTCAATCTCCATCGGACTATTTATACGTACATTCTTCATATGAAAAATCCAGTGTCTTCACCCGAAATAAAGTGGACTTATTTATTCTTTACTCCTTACTAATGTGCTTTCAATTAAATTTTACTCAAGCATTCCAAAGTTGAAATTTAAATAACTTAAAGGCTTACAGTGATCCTCTTGAGGTTCATTCCTTCCTCACCTTTAAGGGAGAACAAGTCTTAATTGTGCGAACACCTTAAACAAGAATCCTGTAACAACTGAATGACACTTTATTTCAAAATGAAAATCCGAAAGGTTGCTGTCGCACCCATAAAAAGTTGAACAACACAGCTTAGCCTAAGTTTATATATGCCTTTTCTTATAATAAGATACATCCACATTGGCCAGGCAAGCCACAGAAGTATTCTTGACAACACAGTGCAAAACAGGCTGTTCTAAAGAAATTTATGCTACGCATGAAGATTAAGGCAGAGGTAAATACCATAATATATGGTTCTAAACCAAGAAAGGTCCATGTGAGACTCACCATTAAGAACTTGAGAGAATGATATGATACAAATTACAATCTATGACATGATACAAATTATAATCTATCTTATCAAACAAGATACATAGCACCAAGTATACGATACTTTTGGTTTTAATTCATATCACAAGAGTTGACAACAAGCACATGAAGAAAGGGGGCAAAGAGGTAAGGAAACCCTACGAAAGCTTTAAATGCAGGGCGATGAGCAGCCATCTCATACATACAGCAACCTGGTCAAAAGAGAAAAATATTACAACAGGGAAAAATTTTGGGCAGAAAAGCATGAGAGTGGGTTTTTTTTTCCTGAATACCAATCTGAGCCTCCATTTTATTAAAATATATGTCAAACATTGATGCTGTACACAAACCACTCCAGAGACCTTATCATATAAATGTCACAAAGTAGTAAAATGGTAGTTATTCCCAATGCAGGCAACCTTGTTGAACCCTCATTCTCATGTAAAACTCAATCCACTTTGTCATTTATGGATTATTGAAAATAGTAAGGTAAAAAGAAATACAAACCCAAGGACCAAATATCTGATTTAAAACCATAAGGGATATCGGCAAGAAGTTCAGGACACATGTAATTTGGAGTTCCAACTACCTGCACACAAAGAAACAAAATGGTTATTAGCTTCCTTTGTCACTTGCAGTTGAATGTTTTGCAAAATCAGTCAAAAATCAAAGTAACAGGATCTTAAATTGTAGAGCACTTCTACACAATTGTCGTTGCATCAGAAAATGAATCGACTGTTACTGATCTACAGATACATTTGAATTTAAATTTAAGCAATCGGATAGGATCAAGATTAAATGAATCATGACTTGCATTTCACGTTACTTTCCAGAACATTGATTCATTGCAAAATGAAAACCATAGGAAACAATCAATTGTAAGAGAACNAGGATCTTAAATTGTAGAGCACTTCTACACAATTGTCGTTGCATCAGAAAATGAATCCGACTGTTACTGATCTACAGATACATTTGAATTTAAATTTAAGCAATCGGATAGGATCAAGATTAAATGAATCATGGCTTGCATTTCGCGTTACTTTCCAGAACATTGATTCATTGCAAAATGAAAACCATAGGAAACAATCAATTGTAAGAGAACCTTAAGAATTGGTCAAAGCATTTATGCTAGATTATGTTACATGAACTCTTCAAAATGTATCAACAATGCAGGTCAGCCATCCAACACCTGGGTAAAGGCATGAAATAAGTGTCCTATTGGATCAAAGCGCTTACTGTTGCACCAATACCTGCAGGTGTTAGTAAAGTTAACTGGCTTAGCAATAAGCACCCACAAGTCGGGTTGATTAAACCCTCCAACGAGTCTCAAGGAGACTTGCTATACCTCTACCCAAGTNAACACCTGGGTAAAGGCATGAAATAAGTGTCCTATTGGATCAAAGCGCTTACTGTTGCACCAATACCTGCAGGTGTTAGTGAAGTTAACTGGCTTAGCAATAAGCACCCACAAGTCGGGTTGATTAAACCCTCCAACGAGTCTCAAGGAGACTTGCTACACCTCTACCCAAGCCAACATGCCCAACACTTCACATCAGATATGCACCAAGCAGGCATACCTTGCAATTCAAGATCATTAATACTAATATGCTCTTTATATGATCCTTTTGTTCAACAATTATGCTAAAATGAGTGAACTCCCAGTCTGGACATTATATGATTCATAAAATATCATTTGCCCCAAAATATTACATAAGAATAACAATAAAAATGAGTATTTCATCTTATCCCATTGCCCGCATCTCTGAATTCGGAGATTGGATGCATCCCAAGCGCGNATAAAATATCATTTGCCCCAAAATATTACATAAGAATAACAATAAAAATGAGTATTTTGTCTTATCCCATTGCCCGCATCTCTGAATTCGGAGATTGGATGCATCCCAAGCGCATACACAATACTTATACCCGAGTCCATGTAACATAGATTCTGAAACCCAGTTTACTTTAAGAATAATCAAAACAATAGTTTCCCTTAAACCCAGCTACTTTAGCACGTCAATGACCACAACTTCTATCTAGTAAAATAGTAGGAATCCTTGGTGCATTCTACACTACTTTTAAACTAAGATTTAAGAGTTATTATTACTAAATACCATCAAAAACATATTTGAAACAATAAACCAAAATCCATATTTGATGACGAGCACAACCAAATATAAATATTCCTAGATCGTTTGTCAATCCAATTACACTAATATCATATATACGGTTGAACTACCATCTAATCTAAAAGCTTAAGTTGTTAGAAATAGTTTAACTTAAATATCTATACTTCAACCTCCTCACGTGCATGTAAAGTTTAGGACTAGCACATGAAAATCATTTTTTATTATCAGGGTGAGGGAGATTTGAATACAAAACCTCCTATTTTGATACCATGTTGAATCACCATATACTTTAAAAGCTTATGCTGTTAAATGAAGTGTAACTTAAGTATTTATACTTTAAAAATTGCTAAATCATTATGTAAGACATTGTATATATCTAAAACCATATTCCAAATTTAGGTCCTACATGTAGACTTGTCTATCGTCNAAATTGCTAAATCATTATGTAAGACATTGTATATATCTAAAACCATATTCCAAATTTAGGTCCTACATGTAGACTTGTCTATCGTCGTCTTTAAAATATTTCAACAATTAGTCAAAAATTTCATCCTCAATTGACAAGATTAATATTTAATAGGCATAGCCAGAATAGAAAAATGAAGAAATATATCCTTATATGGCTTTTTCTATTTTTTGGTGCTTAAGCACGTTAAAATTTGATTATGAACAGTATTGCATTTACAAATATAGTACTGCAATGTATAGAGAACATCCAGATGTGATGTGGATTTTGCAAAAACAAACAATAATGGCAAATTTGTTAAATGAATTTGTAATATTTTCAGTTATAGGAGGATTCGAGTGTCCAATAGTGAGTTTGCAGGCATCATAGGTTACTATATTGAGTTAGGGGATCATTTTTGTAACTCAGATGTATTTTTGGGCTTTGGAGATGTGAAATTTCAGAATGTTTCAATAAGAGGATTAAAGGTCCCTACAGGGTTCTAGGGTTTCTACTTTCTAACATTTATTTTTCTCTACCTACTCTATACTTATGGATTCAAGGCCCCTAGTGTATTCTAGGGTTGTCTCCCATTTATGCCTTCTTTCAAGGGTTCCTGCAGCAATCCCCCTTCTCCTTTCTATCATAAGTTTCTTCCTTATTCTATCAAACAGAAAAGAAAGCAACAATATAACCACCAAATTTCTGCCTCATAAGTATTTGATAAAAGTCTTCAGGTAGCAGCAGTTTAATATGCCCTAAAATCAACAGAAATAAGACCATACCGCACTTTGTTTGATGAAATTCTATGTGAGATTTCAAATTTCACATCTTCTATTTGTATGTAATCAGATATATATCAATTAGTGGATGGAATCAGCAGTGGGAGTGTTTGTTTATGTATTTATTTCAGCCTTTTATTTGCATGCAATGTGTGTGATCAAGAGCCAGGTTACATCACATACCGAAGAAGCCAAGTCATCTGCCTTCAAAGTTTTAGCAAGGCCGAAATCACCTGGAAACAAACAGGTTTTAGCAAACAAAACCCAGTACCATCGCTTGAATCAAAGGAACAAAGCATTTCAAATTCAATTAAAAAAAGACAACAACTCACCAAGGCGAACATCCTGTTCTTTGGTAAGAAAGATGTTGGAACACTGTTATGATGATGCAAATGAATAAGAATATATAAATTTGTGAGTGACAGAGCAAATTTAAATCAAGCATTTCAAATAAAAAACATGTACATACTTTTAGGTCCCGGTGTAGAACAAAATTGGAATGTAGATATTCGACTGCCAATAGTAATTGAGTGAACCATCTGCAAAGTTTCTGCACAATTCCCAAAAAGATTGAACTCCACAATAAGCCAGAGAAAATGAATATAGTTAATTAACGAAAGAGCATTTTTATACATCATTTTGGCATTCATGAAAATCATACCTCTTCTGGAAAGTATTGCCCATTTGATTTTTTCATCAATTCCGCCCTGTTCAAAGATACTTATCAGCACAATGTTCCCTATAATTAGATTACTGACCTTGGGAAGCATTGTGATCAAGATTAGGTACTTCTCAGCCACTTACATGTCTCCACCTTCACAGTATCCAGTAACAATGCAAACATAGCAACCCTACATCACAATTTGCAACTCCGAATTTAGAACCAACATAACAATCCTTGAACCAGTTACCAAACCAAAATGAATTTCCACTGCTGCATCTCACCTTCTCTACCCACGCCTCCTTATATTCAACAATGTATGGATGTTTAATCCGCGATATTAAAGCCATCTACATATCCAAATTCACAAAATGCAGATTAAACGTACATAAATCAACCCAATCTGAATCAATACACATACAATCAAACCACTTTGTCCATGTAGTACCACATTTTTAGTCTATATCCGGACCAAACTGGGTCATTATTGAAATAACACCAAGATTAATAAGTATATGACAAAGAAAAAAAATCAAGATCCATCAAACAAGGAATGTACCTCTTGATGAGCAGATCTCCGGCACCGTTCGGTTTGTCGAGCAAGCCGAATTTTCTTTAAAACATACCTATAATTTCCACCAAGAAAAAGTAAAATTCTAGAAACAACCCAAGTCCTACATTACACATAGAAAAAGGAGGGAGAGAGAAGGCATACTTCTTCTTCTCCGACTTGTGATTGACGAGAATGGCAGCTCCGAAAGCTCCCCTACCAATCTGCTCCATGATCTCGTACTGATCCATTCTTGACTCCATCTTTCTCAATCTCTCTCCTTCGATCCACTGCCTATATCATGTTTCTATGAAGAAAAATGCAGAACCAATTTGGCTCTTCTTGGTGCAAAATTCCCTCAAATCAACAATCAATTTGCTCTGTAAAACTCTCACATGATTCAAAACTCAATGTTCACTTACACTACACTACACTAGAATGCACCAATCTTTGGATCTTCGACAACAACAACGGATCATTTGTAGATCAAATCCAAATTCAAATTCAAATCCAACTCTCACCCACATCTACAAATCCAACTCTCAACCCACATAAATCTTTCTTTCTATATGTACGTCGATTCTACTTGTAGACTAGAATTTGTTTCCACTATTCCTTTCTTTCTTTCTTTTCCTCTTTTGGTTCAGTCCTTTTCTGAGCTTTTTTGCCTACTCTCTCTTGCCCCTTTAACGTAAAATACAATTGGGGTGTTCATATCTTTGAGGAGAGAGTAATTATTTTAACTGAAAGATATAGTTTATCTTCTAATCATGGTTAGATAGGTTAGGTTTGGGTGCAACTTCCAACTAATCTTTCCTTTCTCTTTCTCTTCCAAAAAATATTATTCCTAATGGAGAGAAGAACATGGGTACAATGTGCTTGATGAGAGAAAATCATAAGACTCAGTAAATAGTAAATGCAAGGATTATACTATATCATTATTATTTAGTGATTAAAGATAATTTATATGCGAAGGCATGGTAATAATTTTAAAAAAAATATTGGTAGTTGTTGGATAAATCTATTTAAGACTATCGGATAAATTTATTGAAATATATCTTATTTTATATTATAGATGTAACCATCAAATAATAACTCGGATTCACTCCCTCAAATAACTAGCCGACAGCATCTAAGAGCATCTCCAACAACAAAATGTATTTTATATACTTAAAAAGTAACATTTTTTATTTATTTATTCACTTTTTCAGTACACACTTCAACAGATTTTCTATATTTTTAACTACTCGTTTTAAATATTATTTCTCATTTTTTTTGTATTATTTTTTTTGAAAATAATGAAAGGGAGAAAAAGAGAGAATGAAAAAAATGAGAGGAAGAGAGATAAAATAATAAAAATTATTTTTACAAATTGCTATAGTGATACTTTATATTTAGAGTATCACTATAGAAAAAATCTATTTTACAGTATGTGAACATAATATATTGGAACATGATTTTTTGTTTTAGTTAGTTAAAATTTAATTATTTTACTCGTTTAAAGTATCTGTTGTTGGAGATGTTCTAAGATGTTAACCACCCATGTAAAAAAACAAACAGGGGTAATTACATGCATAGTGTTTGGTGGTTCAATAATCTTCTATGAAAATTTATTTACATTTAATAGTTTTTTTTTTGTCCAAACTAAATATGAAAGATATTTAAAATTGCACTATATTTAACATTAATAGTATAACAAATATATTATAAGCTTTTTATTTCTTTTTGAGAATACCCACGAATGTTGACATAATTATATCATAAAAAAATAAATAAGACGATAACTAAACCAATAAGACAACCAAATCAACTAGTAGAAAAGAAACAAACACTTGTTGACAATTTGTCAGAAAATTAGATAAATCAAATATTTAATGCAAGCTCTACGGCAACAAGTAATCATGTGAGGAAAAAAAATGAGAAAAAAAAAATTCACTAGGCATTTTTGGGTGGAAAAACTTGATTTTGTTGACAATGATGTTGGTTTTACGAAGGAAGTTGATTTTAAAATTTATATTTTTCTTTTATAATTTTTAATTATGATGAATATAAGGTTTACCATTCACATGATTTTAAGATGTTCACTGTTATTAAAATTTTGATACTAACAGTCTCATACGTATGATTTAAATAATCAAATAATTAAGTATTTATTTGAATTTATTAATTTGAGAATTTAGTTTTATGCTATTTTTATTCCTAACAAAAAATTACACAAGATCCAACTAGAGCTAAATATTGTTAATTTTTGTCACATTCCTCTAACTAGGAATCCAGCCGGATGCATATCATAATGATAATAGTTTGAAAAAGGCATCAATCAATTGGACAAAAGACAAGACATTACATTTCAAATTGCCTATGTTTAGGGCATCAAATTGGTCAAAAAAGCAGTCAAGAAATAAAAATGGCTTGCAAATGAGTCGAACAAGTGAATAGTAATTTATTCAAATTTAGTTTGAATAATAATTTATTCAAATTTACTTTGAATTTTGAAAGAGTAGTTAATATAATTCAAGTTTGTCACATCAATTTTAAAAGTTGAATTTTTTTTTTTGGTTCAAAAATTATGGGTGTTCAAATCAATTTACACGTACCTCGACTAATCTTCTCCTCGATTCGGTCAAAGATAGATCATCCACACTAGAATTATGGTATTCATGAGAGACAATTCTTTCGTAACTTAACCCCAAAGAATTATCAAAATTTAAATTCAAGATATTTAAATTTAAAAGTCGATCTGAAACAAGTGTTTGCCAACTAAAATAACTAATATTTTGCATTATATTTTAAAATGGTAATTAGTCTATCGAGCTACATTTGAGCTTACAAAATTGATTTCCTTAAATATGAGCTTGAGTTGATTTTATTTTTTTAACGGTTAGAAATATTCAAGTCAGTTTATGCATACCTTGATTAATCCTCTTTCTAGTCCAATTAAAGACAAATCTTTTACACCGAAATTAAAGTATTTATAAGAGATAAATTCCTCATGATCTGATATTAAATACTTATCAAAATTTAAATTCAGAACGTTTAGATTAATAGTCCGTCCCTATTATTTCTTGAATTACCCATTAAAATTAATTAATTTATTTTTTAGTGATAATGTCGAATGTCACGTTGGAGGACTTATGTTTTATAAACTATAGTTTATTGCAATTTCTAAGTCATTTCTACTGAATTTTGTGATGTACTCGGGGGTATTGGACTAATGTATGATCATTTCATGTTCAATCAAGCACGTGTCCAAATAGTTCCCATTCGAGTTTCTTTTTTTATTATAAGGACATCGGATTTATCTCCGTAAAATAAATTTAAAAATATCTGCAATTACTCGTTAATTATAAATAGACCTAACAATTATAGACTAAAGTCTTGAAGTTGACATACAATTAATGGGTTTGTGTTTAATTTTAATATGTGTTCATAATAAATAAATAAATAAACTTGTTAAATAAATTTGTCAATATAAATTTAATTAAATGCGAACGAACTCTCAGAACACGATTTTTATATGGAACGAATTTAATAAAATATAAATTCAGCTATATAATTACTAAATGTTTTGTGGCGATTATTCAAGAATGTTCTTTTTCTTTTCTTTTATTTTCTTTCTCTTTTTTTTTTGTTTTTTTAATGTTGTATGTGGGGGAGTAAAGAGATAAAACTAGCTCATGGGGGTTGTTTGCTTCAACGCCGACAAGACTAACTGCTCCGCGACCTCATGAATAATCTTATGGTACGAGTGAATGAAACAAATAAAAAATACGAAAAGTGATAGTGATATATTTATATTTTTTAAAAGAAATATATTTCACTCTTTTTTTTTTGTGTTTGGTAAAAGGTGATTTACAGAACGTATTGTGTTTGATAGGGAGAAAAAATAATTAAAGACATCAAATCATCACAACCGTGAGTTGACACTTGTTGGGTCCTACAATTTGATCTTGACCGTTGAAAGAATGGAATTTTCTGGTTATTCACCACATAATTCCAATTCCGGAGTCCCACTTAGTTGACCATGTGTCATCATACTGATTAGGACCTGGTACCCATTTTCTTGTTGTGTATGTGGTGGTGATGACGGTGGCTTGTGTACTGCGTTGTGGTGTTTGTGTTTTAGTTGTTGGGGGTGGGGCTTATGTGTTTGTGTTGTTGGGGTGGTACTTCTTGATGTGGTGGTGGTGCAGATGATCTTCCATTTCAAGAAATTTTTTAACCAAATTGTCCTCCAAAATATTGAGGGTGTTATGATTATTTCATTGTTCACATAGAGGGTATTATAGTCATGTTATATTTTGGGTTATGCAAAATGAAAGGATGTCATTGACAGGGGATGATAATGTTATTTATCAAACAAGAGGGGTTTAATTATTATTTGACCAAATTTTAAAAAAAATATATATATAATTTATTTATTTTTGATACCATAGAGTTGTCCCAATAATTAATGTGTGCAATGTGAGTTGTGGTGCATTAATATTGTACGGTGTGAGGTCTCTTGCAGTTTCAGTTGTACCATGTGCTTTGCTTACATCTTGGCCCCCTTGCTAACATGAACCATGCACGTGGTGACTTATTTAGTTGGGATCCGCACTCTCTTTAACATTACCTAGAACATTTGATGGACACAGTCGAGCGCGTAAATCAGTCAATAAGGGATTGTTTTAACTTAACGAAGGTATTCGATTTGAGACTTAAAAATGTGGTTGCGTTCGGTAGGGAGAGTTTTATCGTCTTTGTGGTCCTACTCAACTCGAATTCGCATTAATCAGAACCTGTTGTGGCTATCGGATACCGGATAATCTGACTAAAAAAAACATTTGATGGACTAATTAGCTTAGCCCCACGTGGGTGCCTCCTAGCTAATTCTATTTCTTGCCTTTTTTTTTTTAATAAAATGTGTAATCGCATCAAAGTGTAAATATAACGAGTTAGTTTTATAGGTTAATGATATCTTAGCATAAGTCTTCAAAACACATGGGTTGGGTTGGATTGTAAGGCATGCCAATTGGCGCTTAATATTAAGTAGCCGGATTGCCAAGGTGGAGACTTATTATTAGTTTGACTTCAGTCTCTGCTATTATGCGCACGCACATGGTGCAACCGCAAGCGACGCATACATCTGGGTGAAGATTTCTGGGTTCGACCTCTTGGCTCCGACCCACCACTTGCCACTTCACCCACCCAGGACTGGCCACCAAATCCTGTAAAATCACACTGGGTCATGGTTGCAAGAATAAGTATTCATTATAATGGTGATATCATAATTTAATAAAAAAATTGGTTATTGAATTATGGTCAAGATTGATTTGTTCACCGTACGAGCCAACAAGAACTTGATCTCGGTATTGTATGCTAAACATTCTTCCACGTGAGTATTGTCAAATGATATAACTGTCCAATTATAATTCACCAAATAAAAAGAATGGACTCCACTCATTTAACTAATTATCCCTCCATAACCACGCATCGTTACCTTGTCCATTTATTTATTTAAAATTAAACAATTACATGATGTGATAATATTGACTTAACGTAACCGTTATATCTAATATTTACGCCTCCCACCAGTATTGAGGAACAAAGGAAGACGAAAAGGAACTAAGTGTTTTTGGATATGCAGCAATCCATGTAGAGGTGTTAATCGAGATAAGTTACTTGGACTCGGTTA